AGTAATCTATATTAGGGTGTAATACTAACTAGCAATGTTGATTATTATTATGCAGTTTTCTATATAGAAAGGTCAAGGGGAGACAATTGACTAACAGATTTAGATTCATTGACCCTAACTTCATTAGTGAACAGAGTGACACAGTCACATATCGTGCTAATCATGTGATCCTATGCATGAAAAGATCGGTTGATTATTATTTGCTCATGTATAATGCGCAGTAAGCTAAATTCCAACTTTAATTACTCCAACCTCACCAAAATCTAATTAGATGCATAATATGAGTATATCGTTGTTATTATTTTGTAGTCGTCATTGGGTGCTGATTATGATTGACACCAAATTCTTAACGTCATACTTACTTAATTCAGTTAATCCAACGACAATGCCTAACCCCAATATTCAAACTTTTATAAAGAGGTATTACACTTTATTATATTATATATCTTATATTTCTTCATAAGTAATTTTATATATGTATTAAGTAAATTTATTCTTTTCAATTTAAAATAATATCTGCATTCAATAAGAAGATAAAGAAACTGAAATGGGTGTCATTACCGGTAAATGTAAAATATATAATTTTTTATGAGTTTGTATGGATAAATATTTTTTAAACCCACTCAAATTAATTTTCAGGTACCTCGTCAACTCGGTAATACTGAATGTGGATATTATGTTTTTCATTTTATGCGTGAGATAGTGTTACATGATTTTATGACCACACCATTCAAGGTTAGTACAAATTTCATAAACTCCTTCTATCTTAAAAAAATATATAAAGGTACATTATGTTGTCATTTCTTAACATTTACTTCTGATTTTTTTTTAGTGGGAGGGTAAAGAAAGCTTCTCGAAAGAGAAACTGGATGAAGTCTGTAAAGAATGGTGTGATTATATATTATCATTTATCAATGTTGATAAACTTTTAGGTTAGACATTGTTGGTTGAATGTAAATATATATGGAACAAATTGTTATAATATTTTTAACATGCCAAGTTGAATGAAAACTTTAAGTTTGTACATTGGGGTATTAGTTTAATATTAATGTTATACTTAATATGAATACATTATATGTACTTAATAAATTACTGAGTACGATTATTTTATAAAAATATATTAATATGGCAACGTTATCAATTTTAATTTCGGATGTGTGGTCAATATATTGAAATACAATAATGTTCATTTTGTAAATTCGAAAATGTAATTCATAGTATCATATATATAAACCAAATGTTTTCTGGGTATAAATATACAATTGACAGCAAACGTTTTTTTGGGCATAAATATATAATTGACAATAAACGTTTTTTTGGACATAAACCTACAAATGACTACACATATACAATATAAAATATGTTATGTTGATGGGATTAATGAAGGCGTGTTTAGCAAAGAAACGCCTTCAATCATCCCTAACAAAAAAAATATTGAAGGCGTTTTTATACCAAATTCACTTTCAATAATACCAACTAAAATGTTTTTAAAGGCGTTTTTTGGATAAAATTACCTTTAATAATCTGTCTATTAAAATTTATCGTTGAAATATTAAAGGTGTTATGAGCAAAAAACACCTTTAAGCATCTATAGGCCAAAAAGCCTATGGATTATTAAGGGTGTCTCTCTATGAAAAACGCCTTCAATATTGTTTGAAAATTTTTTTAAAGCAATTGGTGAAGGCGTTTTTGTTAAGTAAACACCTGGAATAATTAATTACAAATAATTTGTGTAAAAAACCAAAAAAAGGCTAAAGATAGGGATCGAACCTACAACCTGATGGTAAACATCCGTATGATCCAAACAATTTTATAAGCCTGTAAAATTTGTTTATCAAGTTATTAAAGGTATTTTTTTATGAAAACACCTTCAATAATTTCATACAATTTTTTATGACGTGATTATTGAAGGTGTTGTTTGTCAAAAATACGCCTTTACTATTTACTGAAAATTTTAATAAAAATTATTCAAGACATTTTTATCTAGAAACACCGTTGATATCTAGGCTTGGGTGACGTTTATAAGTACCAACGCCACTATTTAAAAATTTAGTGACATTTTGATAATAAATACCTAAAGTTTTATAAAAACATGAAAATTAACGGCGTTTGTAAGTGAACGGCCGCTATAAAATTACTGCTAATACATTATTTTTCTGTAGTAAAAGAGTTGGAATATAACCACTATGGAGGGTTATCAACTTATCGTGCATATTTGCAAAATATGTATGTATCCAAAGGATTTTTTTTTTTTTTGAAATGGTAGGCCATTTTTTAAAATACACACAAAAAAAAAAAATCAAAATGGATTCTTCGAATATTATCTTTAACAAAGTTACTCTGAGTTGGACTCCGCCTCTTTCTCCTATGGCCCGTTCTTTTGTTGCATGTGGTGAGCCGAATGAGTGGATTATTAGAAGATAGATGTTGGAGCAAACATTTGAGAAGAGCAATTTAAAAAAAAAAAAAAAAAAAAGAAAACTCAACTAATGCTATCTAAAAAGCAAAGTTTATTAAGTGCTGCGCTACATGAAAAACTCAATTACTAATGTTATCTAATTAATGTACTGATGTGTATATCCTGAATTTAATAGGAGAGGTAAGCTAGCACTAAGCTATTATTATGAATTGAATATCAATAAATTATAATTTGAGGGAAACAATTCAACAAGCATACACCAAGAAAAATCTTGAATTTTAGGGTCTAATTAGGGTTCTGCATGAATTTTATCTCCCAAGACCAAGATGGTCCATATGGGTCAACCATGCTAAGCTATCCTTCTCTCAAAATTTTTGTATAGGTTACCTAAGCAAATTGCTATCATACCATTATTTGTATTTTTTTTATTTACAGAATAAGTGATGGAATTGTGAGGTTCAAACTCTTACTGTACATTTTTTTAAAGACTTTTTAAATATTAAGTAAAGAAGTTGAAGGCCTTATCTCCATCTCTATCCCAAATGTATCCTTATTTCTACGAAGACATCATACCATCAGCCAAGTTTCTGGAGTGTAAATGTGGCCCCTATTCCATTAGCCATGCGTATGGTTACAAGATGCAGATAAATTATCACATGACTTTTTTGTCCTTCGTCGACGGTGAGATGATGATGACAGATTTGGTCTTGCATACCTGATTCATCCAAATGGAATGCGCAAATCCCACAAGCTTCTTAATTTTGACATAATCAGACAATGGCAAGATCCCACCACTTCTCCCCAATTTTAATTTTATAATCAAATACTTTTGAATATCTATCAAATAATTATATATTCATAAAAAATAATAAATAAATAAATTAATATAAAATTAGATCCAATTCACATATGATAACATTGGAATCTAAATTTAAAAGTATCAGAACTTTTTCTTATTTAGAAGACGGCATTTATACATGTTTAATCAAATTATGAGCTTATAATATTTTTTAGCTTTATTTTTTCATTCGAGCTGTAGGATTAGTAAAAAAAATTTTATTTTATATATGGATAAAAAAATTTTAATGCAATCATCATGAATCTTTTGTGACAAATTCTAGATATCTATTAAATTGTTTCACAGATTTTATATTAAAAACAATCAACCCAAAAGATTTTAAAATTTAATTTCCTTTTCCAGTCAACTAAGCTTTCCCACTGAAACATCAATGGAGGCCTTCAATCATTTTTTTGGTGGGTTCCAATTACCAAATTCCCTATCATATATCGTTGTGTCGTTTTTAAGATTTTGACGTTTTCATCAATAATTGAGACCTGATGGCGTCAAGGTGGCTCCAAAATTATACTCCAACATATGTAGTGTATTTTCATTATTGAGATATAGACATTTGATGTACAAATACAACTGGTGATTTAACAATGCAATTATATCAAATTTGACCTTTCATCCAGTATTAGCAAATAAAAATGTTTTATAATTATGATTTTTTAACGAAATTACACATTACTTGTTAAAATTGCAATCACAATTAAATAACTTTAACATATATCAAATAGTACATTCATAAAAAAAAAAAACATAAATCAACATAGAATTATTCAAATAATAAATTTCTAAGGCATATATAGTCTTTGTACTAATATTTATTACAAAGAAGTGTAGCTGTCAATTAGATTTATGAAAAGATAGAGAGGTGTTAAGATATAAAGTCATAATGCTCTTCTTTGCTAAAATAAAATGGCAACAATAATTAATGGTAATGATGAAAAATAATAAGCTATATATAAGACTACCATCATGAAACCTTTTCCCCTCTTTGATTTTTTTATTTTTGATAGGTGGCGACTTATGAATTTAACTTAATGATAGGTATATTTATTTGTCTATTTAATTAAAGAGTTGGATTGAAATCTCTCTTGGAGCCAATAAAAAATTTTCCAATATTGAATAAAAAGATCCAAATTCCCTCTTCCCGTAATTAAAAAAAAAAAAAGAAATTTTAATCCTGGTTTTACATTGTATTTGGGCTATACCAAATACCAAACTTTGGTAAGGAAAGCGGTATTGTAAGACCCATATGCGTTTCTTAATATTGGATCTTCTTTCGGCCCAATATAATGGGTCTACCACTCCGAACACTAACCGCATTTCTCCGACCGAAAAATAGGCTAGATCGTATGTGTAATAATGATTTGGATCCGATCTTTAGGTGCTCTGATTGGATTAGAACTAAATTTTACAGGTTTAATTTAGTTTATTAGTTTTAAAATTTTAAATTTTTTATATATTATTTTAATATAATTTTTAATATATTTAAATAAATTTAAATATAAAATAATTATTTTATTTTTTATTTTATATAAAATTAATAAAAATATATAATTTAATTCTATTTGATTTTTTTATTTTTAATTCGAAATTCAATTTAAAAATAATATATATTTAATATCTAAATTTAATTCAAATTTAATAAAAAAAAATATAATTTAAATCAATACTACATATTTTCAAATTTTTTATTTTTTCTCACCTTGTCTATTAAAATATTACAAATCTGAAATTAAATAAAAGAGTTTATTTAATAAGAAAATATTTTCGCAAACCGACTTGTAAATCTTGGACGAAAATCAGTGGCGGGCCTGGCAGAACATGGGATCCGTGTACAAGTCTAGCTTGTAGTTTTAGTTGGTGAAGAGAGGGAAGCAAAGGCCTTAAATCGAATGGCTCAAATTGGAACACTGCTACGGCTCTCTTCCATATCTTCATCTTTTGTCAATGGAGGAGACCCGCGCTCTCTTTCAACCATATTCTCTTTCAAACCTCCTACTAAACTTACCTCCTCCAAGTCTCGTTCTTCTACACTTTGCAGAGCTTCATGGCAAGAGGTCTCTCTCTTTTCTTTTTCCTTTTTGGGTGCAATTTCAAACTGTTTTAATTCAATAATTGTGTTTTCTTTTGTTTGCAAATTTCAGCTGGCGGGAGTGTTGGTATTTTCAGCAATTCCCTTCACGGCGGTCAAAGCCATCGCCAATAGCCCTCTAGGCGAGTCCCTCCAGAGGCAATTGTTGGAGAAGAAGAAAGAAGCTCTGGATAATTCTTCAAAGTTCCGAGCTTTAGCTGAAAAGGCAAGAAATGAGAGGTAATATTCTGGGTCTGGGCTAAAATTAAGCCTTACATCATTATATAGTGATATATTCAAGCCTTTTTGCTTCAGCTTTTGTTGATTCCCCTCTTTTCTCCATTAAATTAAACTAAGAATGCTACTATTTGTATCTTTTTTGATGTCTAGTTGAATGCCCATGATAATTCTTTGGGCAATGAACTTATGCGTCTTTAATCATATTAATTAGTTGTTTGTTTACATCTATATTCATTTAGAAAACTGCTCAGGCTTAAGCTCCTGAAAGACATTTTCAAATTACAATTATATTCATATTAAACATATAACTCTGGTTTTGCAGCTTCTGGTATGGGGAAGATCGCCCTCGCTGGCTTGGTCCCATCCCATATGACTATCCTGAATACCTTACGGGAGAACTTCCTGGGGATTATGGTTTTGATATTGCGGGTTTGAGCAAGGATCCTGTGAATTTCCAGAAGTACTTCAAGTACGTGGAAATTTATTTCACTTTAATTTCTTCTCAAGTCATGGCTGTTTAAGACATTTACAGTGAAAAATGTTTGTTTTTAATATGATGAAAATCAAAATCATGACCTTAATTTGTAATAGGATTATAGATGCTGAGTTCTTATAGCCAGTTGGAGAGCCACTGCTAAACAGTTAGTGTTATTGCCGAGGAGAATTTGCATATGTTATTGTTCGTGGATATCTCCTCCCAACTTCATTAGCATGCATGTAATAACTTTTTTGTGGTAAAAATAGTTAACAATGTTAAACATCAATTCCCTGGAAATAGGCTTCCTCAGTTGAGAGAATTTAAATTATTAAATGATCAATGCAATCTCTGTTATGCAGTTTTGAAATACTTCATGCTCGTTGGGCTATGCTTGCAGCCCTTGGTGTTGTGGTTCCAGAAATATTAGATCTGCTTGGAGTCTCTCATTTTGTGGAACCTGTTTGGTGGCGGGTGGGCTATTCAAAACTTCAGGTTGTTAATCTCCCTCAGTTCATTAACTATCCTTCACAGATAATCTGGAATGTCTAAATCCAGTTTAATTTTGGTAATTCCCTTCAGGGGACTTTAGTGTCAATTTTTAGTGTAGAATGAGTTTTCTAAATAATGCATTTAGCCCACTTTTTATGTCTGCTACTTTAAGAAAATATATTATTGATGCAAGTCTTTACCATTGTAGAATATATGAAATGTTAATTGCTATATCTATTGCATGTCAACGACATTTTTTTGGTAGAGGCGGAGATTTCATTGAACCTTGGGCTATAATATGGGAAATAGTGCTCTCTCGTCTCTTCCCACAGATCTTGCCCCTGCCATGCGAATTTGAACTTGAGACTTCTATGTTTGAGTTTCAAATTCTAACCGCCATAGTGTCCCCTTAGAAACAAACAACATAGCAACATTTAAGAACTGTTTGATCAAATTTATTTTCATTTGCAAATTTTATGTTCGAAGCAAGTGATTGTTATCATCATTATGACTTTTACATTTATATCTACTTGTTGATTTTCACTAGGGAGAGACACTGGACTACCTTGGCATCCCAGGTCTACACTTAGCTGGAGGGCAAGGAGTAATTATCATTGCTATTTGCCAGGCCCTCCTGATGGTATTGACTTTTTAGCAATCTCTCTATCTGTTCCCTGGCCTTGATAGATATCATTATGATTGTGTGCTTCTAATTCCTGCTTCATATTTTCGACGCATATAATATTTTGGAAGGGGGAAAGATTCTTGAGAACATGTTAAACTCATAAGGATTGTGCATGTTTTGTTCACTTACTGTTTTAACAATGAGTCATTATCGGTTATTAAGTTTATTATTCGTATGTTATTAGGTTGGACCTGAGTATGCAAGATATTGTGGGATTGAGGCTTTGGAGCCTCTGGGGATTTACTTACCGGGCGACATTAATTACCCTGGAGGAGTGCTGTTTGACCCATTGAATCTGTCCAAAGACCCAGTAGCTTTTGAGGAGCTGAAGGTGAAGGAGATTAAAAATGGGCGCTTAGCAATGGTTGCTTGGTTAGGCTTTTACTTTCAAGCAGCTTTGACAGGTAAAGGTCCCGTACAGAACCTACTTGAGCACCTCGCTGATCCATTTCATAATAACCTATTTTCGATACTCAAATCCATGTAAAACCACATTTTTGTCATTTGTGCCCAAAATATAAACTTTGTATAAAGATCTTGAAGACCACTTCTAAGTTTTAAGTTACTAATTTCCTTGTTTAATATATATGTGTATATATATATCACTGATGTTTAATTATTTGTACGTAAAAGACAAACTGTTTTTAAACTACCGTCTACCGATGAGATATCTCATGAAGATACATGAGAAAACAAAAAATGAGAAGGTATTCCATAAAGTGATAACAAAACAGCGTGACAAAATGTGTAACAAGTTAATCATTTTCTCCTAGTTTCAAAATGTCAAACAGTGGATTAAATTTTTAATAAGTCACGTCATTTTTTTTTCGACTAATAATTAAACACATCATACGTTCCACTAACCTCAGGCCATTGAAACAGGTGGCTCTTGTATGTCCTACGATCGGACCAAAATTTTTTCCTAATTCCTCTTCGCAGTACAATCCAATTATCGCATATTTTGATCATGTGCGATATACAAAATAATAAATAAAATATTATAATAATTATTTTATATCATATTTAATTTGTATTTAATTAAAAAAATAAGATCACAAAAAAATTCTTATCTTTTTAACATAAAATAATTCACTTTTTTCAAACTGAAAAAAATTATTTTTAATTTATGAAATTAAATTTATATGTTTTATTATATTATCAAAACATATATTAATATTTTAAATTATATAAATTTTGAAAAAAAAATTTAATCAATAAATAAATTATTTTATTTTAATTTTTAAATACATCAAATACAAAATAAAATAATATTATTTATTTTAATCTTATTTATAATTTTATTTTACTCTATATTATCGTTACCTTGTGTACCAATCATGATCTTGGTACCATATCATTAAATACAGCAGCTACACCAAGAAATGAAAATCTTGAAATAGCTTCCTTCGGAATTTCAATTGCTAAAATTGCATGAAGGGGGATTCATATGCTCAACAGAGCACATAAATGGCACAAACTTTGGCAATGAGGTGAATTTAGCCGCAGAAATATGCAGCTTGACTACAATGATTTACGCGGCAGGTAAGATTGCTTGTGGACCATAATGTCTGATAGGCTGGATTTACCGACTCTTCTTTGCAGCTGCAAATTTTGGATTTTTGCACATTCTGACACTTGATGGAGTGACCTCCACCAGTTCATCTTCTTGGATATACTCAATGCAGTCATCCAGACTATAATCCAATGGGGTATCAAGAACAACTGCATAACGAGGAAAATGTGAGTTATTAAATGAACAGATCTAGGGATTGCTCTCTAGATGCATGTAGGAGAAAAAAACAGAAAAAAGAGGGAAAACAGAAGGAAATTAGCAAACCATCATATCATAAGAAAACATATATTTTTCCGGTACCTGGAAAAAAAAAAGGAGATAAAAATAGCTGATAGTTATAGTAACCATTTACAATAATAGCAAAACTCTCCAGAACTTTCAGTTACAATCATACTCCAGATGATTGATGAACAAGGAACTCACATACTTGTTATGTACTAGAGTTGAACATAACATCGAATGGATTTTAATGTAATTGGCAGTATTAACAAGTGATCAACAAGCAAGGGTAGAGTGTGGGGTACCACCCCTAGAATTTTGCTATTACGGGTGAGGGACCTCCCTTGACCATTCTTCCTTTATTATTTTGTAAGTTCAGAAATAGGTCAGAAGGTAAACTTAGATACACATGATGATAAGGATTAAGAACAATACTCTGCTTAGTTTTTGAAGGACTTGCAACTTTTTGAGGAGCATGTTTTGTAATTTTAGTATGTTCTTTTATTAATTTTAACTCTAGTAATTTTCTATATATCAAAGAATGTTTATCATAAGCAACACACACTTTGCCATTGTCAAAGAATATAGATTTATGATCTAAAAAATTAACATTAATTTGGAATTGATTCATGATTTTCACTAAGATGCAGAGTGATTCATTAATCATAATTTATCCTTGAAAAGACCACATCCTAAATCAGACCAAATTAAAAGTTTGATTCTTATATGAGAAAGGGACCAAAGATTTAATCTTAAATTGAACATTTCGCCTTAAAATATACAGATAGGAAATAGAGAAGATAAGAAGTTAATCAGAATCTTTAAAGAAGAAAATTGAACTAATGCACTAAAACTTCCTTCTAACCTGCTTGTTCTTTGTTGGAGCGTACATTTGTTGCAGCCTTTTTCCTGCAAACATTCAGGGACATGTCACCAGCACGTTGATGGATGCCAACTATTTGACCTTTATAAACTTCAATGCCAGGACCAATAAACATCTGTCCCCTCTTCTGTGAACTGGCAAGTGCATAAGAAGTACTGCTTCCATTCTCAAAGGCAACCTGAAAATCAAGCTCATGTGAACCAATCTTTCATATAATAATTGTCTAAGGTAGACAGTTTTAAACTTCCACGAAGTAGCAAAAAATAAAAACCAGAAAATATTGAAATGTGCTAATTCTTAGCTGCTATTTTATCCAAGTAAATAAAGCTGCTTGTAATCTAGCTGCGAACTTAAATTCTATCTCATCAATGAAGTTCAAAAAGTAAAATGTCTCAGCACTTGTTTAATTGCTTTAAGGTAATGAGTAAAACAATGACTAATATAACCACTAAAGAAATAGTGAGGGACTACAACCTAACGACAAAGACAACTTGTATTAAAGCCATGTAATATGTTAAACACTATGACAAAATAATTACCAATGAACCCTGATCCCGGGTAGCAATATCACCAGCCCAAGGTCCATAACTATCAAATATGGTGTTCAATATAGCTGTTCCCCTAGAAGCTGTCAAGATTGCATTCCGCAATCCAAGAAGGCCACGTGTTGGGATCTTGTATTTCAGAAGTGTTGTACCTTCAGACCTAGAAAACATAACCAGAATCATTAGGTGAACTACAGAACAAATAAAGCGCAAATTCAAGAACAAACTGCCACAATTCAATTTTGGAATGATATTTTGTAGAAAAGTTAGGGAATGTGTTGGTTAGGTTTTTCTGATTTTGTAAGTTTATTTTGTTCTGATAATATATTCAGATATTAGGGGAGTAGGTTGAGATTATTGTGTTGTTTCAGTAATTCTTATTTGCTAGTGATGTTGAGATTGTCTTGTGAGATATTTCTCTATTTTTTCTTATTTTTCTGATATTAATTCAATGAAGAAAATTTATTTCCCCACAAAAACTTTCATATTTATAGCCAAAATAGGGAGTCAAATTATGCAAGTGTGCCTGACCATTAACATAAAATAGGAAATCTGCTACCATCTTCTCACTTTTTGAATTCCACTTAACATTTAAAAATGTAACAGGCAGTAACAAGCATTTGGACAGCATTAATCAAATTCATTAAGTGTGAGGAACTCCATATTGTTTTCTGTAGTAATGAAAGTGCATAAAAACCTGTCCAAGTTTCATTTGTGCCAGCTTAAGAATAGACCTGATTAGACTACAATCACATGTTCATTCAAATACTTGATTCCGCAAGTAAATATCACCAAGTTCTTTCTTCATTCAAAAGGCATTGTATCCAATAACTTAGGGATAGTTACGGAAACATAAAGGATTATTTAAAAGAAAAGCAAAAAGTGACATACCCAACTCCTTCCATATTTAACATATCTCCACACCTTTTGCCAAGAAGTTCAACCACAGCCCCCATGTGTTCTTCTGGCACTTCCACTGTGGCGATCTATAAGGAATCCAAATATCGGGGGAAAAAACAAGTTAATTAAAAATAAAGAGCGTAACATAATCAAATCATTAACAAGGTATAATTTTATTATCATTGTATTTGATGATACCCCTATCATTTTAGTATCAGAACATGGATTTACAATTCATAAGAATCAGCAAAACTTGATCTTAAGTGAATTGCAGTATCCCATGCATGAAGAAAATTTTCCTCCAAACCTTGCTGAGATAGCTATGCATTATGCATACCAGTGATTTTATTCATGTCTAAAAAAAAAAACCAAGGCAACTGTAGTTAAGAAAATGAGATGGAAGCTAAAAGAAGATTTGAATATCAGAGGGCAGAATTTTATATCATCTTCAGCATCTATGCCATCAGCCATCATGAGCTTCACTTCTTTGAGATTTGAGAATCAGTCAAAACCTCAATAATTTAAGTTAATTTTACATTTGTGAGAGTGTCTAGTTTCTCAATTTAACTATTAATAGAATCAATAGGATAATACCATTAGGAAGAAAATAAACCTTCCCCATTAAAGGCAAATCAAGTACACCCATATCCAAATCAGATAAGGTCCTCTAATGATGAACAAGGTAAATGCAATTGAGGAAAATTAGAATTACAAAATCACCTCGTATGGTTCAAGCAACTTGTCATCAACCTTTTTGTTAATAACTTTGGGAGGTCCCACCATAAATTCATACCCTTCTCTTCGCCTGGAAAGCATCATTACTTAATAATATGCATGATGAATATTGACAAGAAACTGAAGTGTTTATACTTACATATTTTCTATCAGTATGGTAATATGTAAAGTACCACGCCCACAAACAATAAATGTATCTGCAGTTTCACCATCTTCAACTCTCATAGCTAAATTTCGCTCAAGCTCACGGTAGAGTCGATCTCGTAGGTTCCTGCTAGTAACATACTTTCCCTAAAGAAGCAAGAATCATGAGGATATCAATGCTAAGAAATATGCACACAAATTCCACATTGCCATGCATGTATATTCACTGAATTGGAGATGAAATCATGTTGGAATTCCAATGGTTGGAACAAGATAATCATGTCAAATCATTCAGACATTGATCACAATATGTAAGCAATCATTAGGAGGATAAGATCATTAGTTTTCAGTCAAATGCATTGCAGAAGAAAACTTTTTTTTACTTGGCTTAGAATTAACTTGAGGCAATGCTGAAACAAACGACTGATGAGCGGAGCATTCATAAAGAACGCCAATTCCAAGACTCATAGGTTCTCAGTTAGTTGGCACTTGGCATACCTCGCGGCCAGCAAATGGTGAAGTGTTTATAGAAAAAGCCATTTTCACAGTTGGTTCTTCCACCTTAATGGCAGGCAATGGCTTTCCAGATGTTTTATCAGCAATAGTCTCTCCAATCTGATCAAAGAAATTAAATTGGTTATTGTAAAATTTAAAAGTATAAGAAAAAGGTTTTGAGAAATTAACATCAATACATTACAAAAATAACTGTAAAATCAACCTATCGATTAATCCATGAAAAATTTAGTCACTTGCCTGAATATCTTCAATTCCACAAACAGCACAAATATCACCAGCTTCTACACTCTCAGCAGGGGTCCTACTGAATTTCTCATAGACAAAAAGTTCAGAAATTCTTGCATATCTACATGAATCCTCTGATGTGCATACCTGAAAATTTTGAAGCCATTAAGTTAAACAGAGAAAAAGCGGTTTAGTTTCTTCTTCTGAACACTAACTGAAAGTGGTTTGTCTCAATGAACACTAACTGAAAGTGGTTTGTCTATCATGAAGTTCCAATGAAGTTAACAATATAGATAGGTGGGGATCACCAGGGATGACGGATTTTATTCCGTCCTTAACACTGGCTTATTATTTTGTGGATATTCTTAACACCCTACCTTTCTTTCTTTTGGATAGTTAAAAATGTATTAAAATTCCATATATATACATGTTATATGGAACAATGTGCAAACCAGACTCCAGAAAAGAAGCAATCTTACCCTTACTTCTATTCCTTTCCGAAGCACCCCAGCATGCAAGCGCCCAATAGCTATCCGTCCTTTATGTTCATCATATTCAATATTTGTTGCCTGAAATAAATTCACAGATTTTCCAGTTATACAACTTGGGCTGAAAATAAGAAAATTAGGGAAAAACTAAAGAAAAACAGAGTAAAAAGGAGAAGGCATGTAATTTTCATTATTTTTCCCAGAAAAGAATAAACTTCTATAAGGTTTTCTCCCACACTTCAATATATTTTGATTTATTAATGTTCGGCTATTGGACATGTATCTTTAACAGAAGTTTTTCTTCAATCAATCCTGTAGCCCGGGCTTCCTTGAAGACTAACTTCCAGGATGGCTTTTTAGTTACAGCTTCTGCTCTCATCCAATAAAGCTTCATTATTGGCAACAAATGAAATAAATCTCATTGCTAAGTTCATATAGATGTATGCCAAAAACAAAATATAGCATATTGAAACAAGCAAACATTATAATATGTTAATTATATCCATTCATATTTTACCATCATATCCGTTAATTACATCATTCATATATTACCATTTTCCAGGAAAATGGACAAGTAGTAATTGAATTCTAGTCAAAAGTTCAAATATTAATCTAGTTTGCAAAAAAGAAAAGTGTTTGTGAGGGGAAAAAACAGAGTCAGCAACTTGTAAGTGTAAGATTCAATTAGATTATACCCATAGCAAAATTTTATCCTTATCTGTAATTTGACAACAAGTAATTAAGCATACTTTCAGCTACTATCACTGGAATTAACCAGGAAAACAGTAGATAAACAGAGAGTGACCATGAGGGTCAACAAAAAAAATAAAAGAAACCACTGACAAGCATTTGTAGTGCACCGTCTTTGTCAATATGTGGACCAGGTATGCATCTGATTATAGACTCAAAGAGAGGCCCAAGATCTTCTGCCAAATTGTCAGGAGACAGTCCTGCCTTCCCTTTTATACCACTGGCATATACTGCTTGAAAATCACACTGCATACCAAAAACATATAAAACAAGATTTAAGTTTAGATGCAACTTTGTAAAGACATTGAGACATCAGCAAAGATTCAAAGATCCAAAAAAGAAAATACAAAGAGGCAATGTCTGTCTTTGGGTGAAAAAAAAAAGGAAAAATTCCAGTCATATCATTCCATTTCTTGTAATACCAAACAATAATTCCTACTATTTGAGAAGGTCTAACATGTTCGGAAATGAGATGTTGTCAAAATATTGGTCCAGTTTTATAGAGCCAGTGCCTTGATGCAAGATGGCATGTGAACTTCACGCTAGTCACTCCTTCCAAAATATAATACCAGTACCTGCTCATCTGTAGCATTTAATTCAATAAATAGTTCAAATGTGGAATTGATGACAGAATCTGGACGTGCAGATGGTCTGTCAATCTTGTTGACGACAACAACAACGGCAAGGCCAAACTCTAAAGCCTTCTTCAAAACAAACCTTGTTTGTGGCATTGGACCCTCAACAGAATCCACCTAAAAACAAAAAGAATCTGCTTTAGTTCATCATTAAGTTAATCCTGTCAAGGATACAGCTTATGAGAGAAAACCACCAAAAGGAATAATAAGCAGAGAACAAAAATCAAACAAATTTGACAACTAATTATATTTGAATGTGATTCTACTATTATCTGATTCAAAATCTAAGCAGATCCATGAAGGTTAAAAAAGGGAAAAGAAAAGGAAACAGAAAGGAAGAATAATATGTTTCTCAGAAAAAGATAAAGCCTAACACCTAAAATGTCAAGAACATCTATAACCTATACTCCATATTAAATCCTCCATATAAACCTTTTATAACTACCTCAAATCATTCAAACTGGGATGGCAGTGGGAAAAAGAACTTCACATATTTTCATCATTGGAACCACTCTCAATTGACTCTTCCAAAAAAGAAATAAATGTTCTACAGTTCTATATGTATGGAAAATACTTGTAACAACCAACTTAAGGATATAATAATAGGCAGCACCAAGTTGATATCTAGCCTAATAAATTTCTCAAAAATATGTACCTGAGGTTCTTAACACAATATGCCCCAAGGAATCAATATCTGAAGAAAGATATGCAAATTTAATCCTAAACAACAACAATAATTTGTTTTATCTCTTATGCAGAAAAGGTTTTTCAAAACAACTGTGTTTTAATGTTGATGGCCCCTAAAGAAAACTTTTGAATGCATTGTTAGCATGTGGGGCCCATCTCAAACTAAGGAGATAGGAAGCTCTATGGCTTTAGACCAACAATTTTAAAAATCTTATATTTGGTTTTTATGTTTTAAACTATTCACTAGCACAAAATTGCTGTACAGTAATCTATAGGGGAAAAAGTTGAAAAGATAAACTTCCAAGCAAGAGAAAGTGCAAAACAGTACCACTAGAAGAACCCCTTCGACCATATTGAGGATGCGTTCAACTTCACCTCCAAAGTCAGAGTGTCCAGGAGTATCTATTATATTAATTTTTGTATCCTTATAAGTTATAGATGTATTTTTGCTCAGAATTGTAATACCCCTTTCACGTTCAAGATCATTTGAGTCCATTATCCTCTCTTGTACAAATTGGTTATCACGAAAAACCTGCAAGAGAAAGTCAGCAATGAGAATTAGCATTAAAATTGGCATTTATCCTAACAGAGTTTTATTAGTATTACCATACATAGTTTAATTTTAATTTCAGATTATAAAGAATCCAATTCTATCAGATAAAGAGTACCAGTAGAAAATTTAAATCTGGATACTGGTCAAAAGGGTTGAGTTGAATCACACTATCAGATAAAAATTTCCTACTCTATCCAATCCAAAGAGCCTCCATTATCAATTTCAACTTAGCATCCATTTGGACTAGCTTCTTGAGTAGTTTCTCTGTTGCAGAAAGATAAAGCTAGGCCAAACGAGTGCTTTCAAATCCCAACTTTTAGCTTCTATAAAAGCTGGCCAAAAAGGAGTCTTTTGAGACTAAACTGAAGCTCCAATTTTGGGAATAGATCTTTAAATAAACTACTGTGTGAAACAGACTCTTATACTCAATCCAAATTCAGAAATTAGAACAACAGATACGCACAAACCAAACAGAAGAAGAAACTATCAACAACAAGGCGGATAAAATCAGATTGTTTTACCTTAGATTGTTTCAACATTGCATCAACCAAAGTAGTCTTTCCATGATCAACATGCGCCACGATTGCTATGTTCCTTATATCCCTTCTCCTCTTTAACTGACTCTTCTTCTCTATTAATAAACAACGATTTAAAAAAAATTATTACAAAAAAAAAAAGCATTTTAAAAAGAAAAACGAAATCAAATACCAATTGCAGGTTGAGTTGCCTGAGAAACAGAGCACTTGACTGGTTTAGTCAACTTCCTAGAACGAAATTTGAGACTTGTTGTCTTGGAGTTGAAAGAGGAAAGCGGAGATAAGGTGAGTCCCAAAAGTTTCGGCAATGGAAATTTAGGGTTAGGGTTAATTGAAGGAGCTTTTAAAGAATAGTTATGGATGCTAATGGCCATCTCCATTTCTCTCTTTGCTTCTTTCTTTGTCGGTTCAGCAAGCGAGAAGAAAAAAGAATGGAGGATTTGGCAACTGAGGCGGTGATTGAAGCCAACGGAAACTTTTTATCGGGTCAGCTTTTTCTAAACTGGGAGGCCCGACTGCCTCCACGTCATCATTTGTGGGTCCAATTTTAAGCCCAAACCCAATTTTAGTGCCCCAAAAATCTGTGGCCTCTGATGGTTTTTTTGATGAAAGTGTTAATTTAATTTGTTTGATTCAAATCAAATCTCCATGGAAGCTGCTTTTGGCGCTACCGCGCTTCTTCATCCCTTTAAAACCCAAAATCCCTTGCTTTTACCACAAGCTAAGCTACCTGATAAAGCCAAATACCCAAGTTTAAAAAGGGTCCGTTCTTGTTCCATTTCAAGCATTTCAACTGATAAAGAGCCGGTTCTTGCTGAAGATTGGTCCCGTCTTCTCAAACTCTCGATTGGGTCTGGAAATTTCTTGTTGGGTCAAGCAATTCACGCATTTTTAATAAAATCTAACTCTACGAATGACGCGTTTCAAGGAAATAATCTTCTTAATTTCTATGCGAAATTCAATGAACTGGGTGATGCCAGAAAGCTGTTCGATGAAATTCCTGTTAGAAACACAATCACTTGGACTACTTTAATTAAAGGGTATTTAGACAATGAAGATTACAAATCCGTGTTTGGAATCACTCACGATATGTGTTTCTATGGCGAGAAGTTCAATGAGCATACTTGTTCGGTGATTTTAGAAGCGTGTAGAGAAGAAGAGGACCTGATTCGTGGGGGGCAAATCCATGGTTTTGTTATAAAAAGTGGGATTCAGCAGAATGTTTTTGTGGGTACTTCTTTGATTTCTATGTATTCAACGAGTGGGTTCTTAAATGAAGCAGAAAAAGTTTTTGATAACATTGGTTTCAAGGATGTTCAGTGTTTGAATTATATGATTTTCCAGTATGGGAAGGCTGGGTGTATGGAGAAAGCCTTTCGGGTTTTGGTTGATATGTTAAGTTCTGGTTTGGAGCCAACTGATTATACATTTACTAATATAATAAGCACATGTAGTGAAAATGTAGGTATTGACGAAGGGAGACAGTTACACGGGCTTGCTGTTAAGTTTGGAGTCGTTAATGTGACCTCTCTTGGGAATGCTTTGATTACTATGTATGGGAAGCTCGGAATGGTTGAATACAGTGAGAGAATGTTTTATTCGATGAGTGAGAAGAATTTGATTTCTTGGACGGCACTTATATCGGGGTATGTAAGAAGTGGTTGTGGTGAAAATGCTGTTCATATGTTCTTGGAATTACTTGACCAAGGAATTTATTGTGATTCAGGTTGTCTAGTAACTGTGCTTGATGGCTGCTCAGAGTGCAGAAACTTGGATTTGGGAGTTCAACTCCATGCATTTGTGATTAAGGTTGGTCATCTTTGTGATGGCAATATTGTAACTGCATTAGTAGATATGTATTCCAAATCTGATAACCTAACGTCTGCAAAAATAGTTTTTGATGGTTTCTCTAATAAAAATATTGCTTTGTTTAATGCAATTCTTGTTGGGTTCATGGTAACAAAAAGAGATGATAATGAAGATGCCATGGTTTTGTTTCATCAGCTGAGATTAGGCGGTATAAAGCCCGATTTGGTCACTTTCTCACGGCTTCTTAGTTTATCTGCCAATCAAGCTTGTTTGGTAAAAGGGAAAACTCTTCATGCTTACACCATCAAAACGGGATTTGAAGCTGAGTTAACGGTGAGTAATGCCTTGATCACCATGTATGCTAAATGTGGCAGTATCAAAGATGCTTGTCAAATGTTTAATGGTATGAATGGCCATGATTCAGTTTCTTGGAATGCCATGGTTTCTGCATATTCCATTCACGGTCAAGGTAAAATGGCACTTCTTCTCTTCAAAGAGATGAAAAGCGAAGGTATTGCACCTGATGAGATTACTACATTGGCTATCCTTCAAGCTTGTAGTTACAATGGGTTATGGCAGGATGGGATATGCTTATTCAATGAAATGGAATCAAATTATGGGATCAGGCCAGTAATTGAGCATTTTGCTTGTATGGTTGATCTTTTAGGGAGGGCAGGACGGTTGCCTGAAGCCATGAATTTTATTAACAACAGTCCTTTTCCAGATTCGCCTCTACTATGGAGGACATTGGTCAGTGTCTGTAAGTTGCAAGGGGATTTGGGTTTTGGCATGTTAGCTTCAAAAAAATTGCTAGACTTGTCGCCTGCAGAAGCTGGCTCCTACATACTTGTTTCAAACACGTATGCTGGATCAGGAATGTTAGATGAGGCAGCAAAAGTCAGAACAGCTATGAATGACTTGAATTTAAGTAAAGTAGCAGGTTGTAGCTGGATAGAAATTGATAATAAGGTCCATTGTTTTGTGGCAAGTGACAATGACCATCCAGAAAGTAGAGAGATTTATGCAAAGTTGGATCTATTAATGGATGAAATCAGGTGGAAGAATTGTGATACCAAGAATGCTCATTTCATTGGAGAAATTGTATAGGTATAACTAAAGCTACAAACTTGCTTAACTTCTTGCAGTTGGAAAGCCTGCAATTTTACCACTTAATTATGGTGAGGCCCATATTGTACTAAAGTTCATAAGAAAGGATCAAACCTGCTGGATTAAGCAAAGGGGAAACTTGGATTAGTGGTTATAGTGATGGAATATTCTTCAATCTGCAAATGTCGTAATCTGTCTTGAGTGAGATACAATAGTGGATCATATATTACACCTTTTGTACGAGGGATCGAGTATTTCAGCTCCAAATGTTTGCATAGGCATATTGACATCTTTTTCCCTCAAACTATGAAACATATAATTTTAGTCCATTTTTATTAGAATCCATTTGACCCCCAACACTTTTATTTTTATCAAATTAACCTGATTTAGACGGAACGTTCACCAACGATTCCGTTCGAATTGCCACTTGAATTATCCCTTAGGTAACACATCTGCATCCAGTGACACGTGTCAATCCACATGGCTAGTAAAAGCCGCGTGGTTGATTACGATGGCAGCCCAGCTCAATACTGGGTATAACAAAAAAAAAATTCTTCAAAATTAATACCCGACCTTAAAAAACCCATTTTACCTTGACTTTCTGTTCAGACAAAAACCCCACAGCTTCATGTGTTGCCTATGCTCATCTGGTTCTTGCCCAGAACCCAAGTCATGGCATGGAACGACAGTCAATAGTTTCAGCTCTCCCCACCAAAGAAACTTATGGTTTACTTTAAAGGCATGAAAGTGAGATGATTGAAGGTTGTTTCTATAAAGAAACTTTTGGTTGTGTTTGGCTTTTAGATGCCTTGGGGTTTGAAGAAGAGGCAAAGTCGATGTCGATTGTGAGGGAGAGTCAAAATGCATGCATATGACTTGTTGCCTAGTTTCTACTATTAAACAGTTTAAACCCAAATGACATAAAATGAAAAATATGACTCAAGGGAAGCAGTAATGGGATCCAAGCTGCTAAGAAAGTTTGCAATGGAGACCCGAAGAAAAATAAAGAGCCAATAAGGAATAAGCATTACATTGAACTAGAAGCCTAAACATTTAATAATTTTAATACCTATAATTTATTTTTTTCACTCTCAAGATAGATATCTTTTATAAAAATTAAATAAATAAATATTACATTTTTTCAAGCTTATTTCCTTATGAAAATCTGCATAAATTTGTGAGTCAGACATGCTTGGAATGTATAGAATTCTAGTGGTTCCTTTGTATTACATTAAAAAAAAAAAAGAAATGAGATATTGGGTCCTTGTGATAATCATTTAAAACAAAGATTTTGCATCCAAGCAATAACATTCCAATTAGCAGCAAATGCACCAAAGTAAATACATATACATTTAATCGTAAGTTTAAACAACTATAATGGCCCCGAGCAATAATTTTAACTGTACAAGACAAAAAGAGGCTGTTCCACCACCGTTCCGAACAAATCCTCAAAAATCCCAACAAACTTCAAATCATGATAAGTTCTATAATTTTTTTTTTATTATTTTGATTTGTTGCAACTCTTGACTGCCCTCTGATGTAGGGCACCTACAGTTGAAAAGATAAAGGTACTCCTAAAAGGGCAGAATTATTGTGTCCACACAAATATTTTTTGTTTTTTTATTAGGTTTTTGATGGGACTAATGTAAAGGAATATTGTTTGTACTAAGTAATAATTAATTAAGGTCTCAAAAGAAGGATCGTTTGGCAGGAGCTCTCCCAACAGCTCTCATCAAATTGGCTATTTCAAGAACCTCAGCAACTTTTGTCCCTCTCTTGGCCTCAGCCGATGCCCTTCTCTCTTCTGCTTTTCTGTGTGCTTTTGCCACATCGTTTTGCATCTTTTCCAAGGCTTTTGCTCTTTTCTCCTCTAGCTTCCTCTGCATAAAAGTGATGAATTGACTTTTGTAAACATATAAGGACTATATATTACTCATATACCAGTACAAAAAGATAATGTAAAGGACTAAGGAAAACAAAAAAAAAAAAAAAGATTACCTGATCGATAATTTTAGAAAACAATGCACAGTAACCTGATTAAGATTTGGCTAAAAACCAAGAACAGATGATAATTACATGAAGATTATTAAGTTCAATTATTAAACAAGTAAATAATCCATAAAGTTCAATTATTAAACAAGCTAGCATGACATCCGCTTCTAATTATTGTTTAAAGCCTCCAGACTGATCTTTCAAAGGTATAACAATAATAATAATAATACAGCACCCCTTTTTTCTATGGGAAATATTTTCAATATCTTAGAACAAAACCCACTTACATACCAACATCATTATTAAGTTCAATAATCAACTTAGTCAATTGGATCGTCCATTAGTGATCAGATTTCTGCGATACTGGACAGAATTAAGAGCACATAATTAACTAGTACTCTATTTGTTTGGCACAATCATATAATAAAATTAACATTAAATCGATATGAAGTTTAGTTCAAATAATTCATTTAAGTCTCTTACAAGATTGGAATTGGATCCATAACATACCTCGATTTTCTTCATCCAAGAAGCGGCCTTCTGGACTTGCTCACTTTCCCTCCCATTAATTATAGCATCTTCTCTCTTAAACCTATTATTAATCTTTGCAACCTTTGCGTTTTGCCATGCTGATATTTTGGACTCCACCTCCTCTTTCTTCACTCTTAGCACATAAACCTCCTCGTGGCTGCTACTACTCGCCGCCATAGAACCTTCTGATCCGACCCTTCTTTGTTGATCCGAACCCTGATCAAACGGATTATTATCTGGCACTATAGCCAAAGGATTAGTTTCCTCTGGCACTTCCTCCTCTCCAATCCTGGTCAAGTGATTATGATTGTTTAAAGTATTTGTAGGATCAGAAGAATCATTGTTTTCAATGGAAGAGCCAGCAAGAACAAGAGCATTGAACTCTCTACTCATGGTAGTAAAGTTTTCACTCGAACCCGCTTCACTAGACATGGACAAAGAGGATGATCGATGGCTACCAGTCTCCCAACGGCCACGGTTCACAGCTGGAGGGTGAGGTGGGGTCAAAGCATGGATGTCCCTGATATGTTCATCACCATCATGGTCATGGTCATGATCATGATCATCATCGCGGTTATGGTCGTTTTCGCCATTGCTAATAGCCCTTTGAAGGGTTAACATAGTAGAGAATTGGTGGTTGTTTGAGCAAAAGAAGGATATGATGAAATTGAAGGAGAATTATTCATGAGACGAAGGGGAAGAGTAAGGGGAAGCGTTGGGAGGTTTGAACACCGTCTTTACAATTATTAAGCTTTGAGTTTTGACTGTTTTGAAGAAATATGAGCCACAAACATACGTGAAAGAGAATTCAAGAAGAATCAGCTGGCTTTCAAGTGAAATCTCATCACGTAATTAAAGTAAAATAAGCCTAGAGATGGGAATTGTACTGCAAGTGAGACAGGATTGAAATGTCGCTTTAGACTTTCTTTTATTTATTCGTAACTTGGAATAATTCTTTAAACCTCTTATTATTATTATTTAATATCCAAAGAATTTTGAGCTTTTTAATCGGATAATTTTCTCTCTTTTATGTATACCGACATATAAAAGATAAGATAAAAGAAATTACAAATGATAAGAATTTACTTCAATTTTATAAAAAATTTACTATTTAAAAGAGGTTAGTTAAACATTTGAGCTAAAGTTTAATTTTCTCTCATTTTATAAATTCAATCCATCAAACTTAAAATTCAAGTATAAAACTTTTAAAATAAAATGAGAGTATTAAAGTCAAATAAACGATTAGAGTGTCTGAAGACTTTAAACCCCCTAAATTTTTTGTTTTTTTTTATTTCTCATTTTAGAAAAAAAAATACTTATATAACTAGGTTGAAGCGTAATAATTCATTTGGAAAATTAAGGTTTGATTATTGAGGTCCCTTTATCATCCATGGAAAGTATAGCTACAAGTCATACAAATTATCAAATGCATGTTATTTAATGCATTACATTTACATGAATGAAGCTTGAAAATTATAGGGGGTTTAGGGGTTTCTTTTTTTGCACTTTACCATGTCTATGATCTAACTCCATTCCTGGTATATAGGTGTATTGTGGCTTTCATTCTTAAATTCCACCTACCCACCCCCTCTCTTAAGCATGGTTACCTCATTAAGCACCATTCTTGCATACATGATTTTTCACTAATCATATATGTTCTTAATAATTAAGTGACAATTATAATCTAATGAAAATTAGTTGACCTACTAATCTCTTGATGCAAAAATTTTGAAGTTTTAATTTTAAATGTAGAAGCATTTGGATGGCCATAAAAGGCTATGTAACTGATTAAAGGATGAAGACAACTAAATGAAATATTAATGAAATATAGCTACTATGAGCAAAAAAAGATGGCTACTAAAAGGGATCAAGATTCAAACATAATAAATATATATTAGGTATTTTAAAATCTTAAAATTGAGAATGAGAATTTAAGGTAATGTTTGGTTTTAGAAATCAGAGGTATTTTTTATTTTTATTTTTCAAAAAATAAAAAACAAGAGTGAAAATTTGGGTAGTAATGAAAAATGAAAATAAGTTTTTAGAAAAAAAAAATAAAAATGAGCTCAAATGTGAAAAGTAAAAAAAAAATAAATGTTCTCTTCAACTAATTGGCCTGACCAAATAAGCCTTAAGAAGACATAAGACTGGAGTTCGACCCCAACCTTTCCCTTTCCCTCATTGATGTAGGGTTCTGTCCCATTGAAACAAAAAAAATATAATAATAATAAATGTTTTAATTATGAAAATAAAAAATATTAATTACTTTCATTACTTTTTTGCCTTTGTTTTGCAAGTTAGGAAGTTGGCCCTATTTAAATACTTTTGAAAGTTATTAATTAATAAGTATATATTATATATTTATATAATTAGATATCATTCATAATAATTATTTTCATAACTGTTTTTTTTATTTTGCATTTTTAAAAAATAATTTTTATTTTTTTTCACCAAATACATTTTTTAAAAAACAAAAGATAGAAAACAAAACCGTCTTCTAAAAACTAAAAATAAAAATAAAAACAGAAAACATTTTCTCAAATCAAATAAAGCAGAAAATTTTTCGATTTAGCTTCTAATACTATGTATTATTTTTTGTTTCAAATTAAACTACATATCTATCTTTCATCTGAAATATCATAACTATGTATCTTTATTCTTTTTTAAACACTTAAAAATTCTTAATTTTTTATTTTATTTAATGTTTTATATTAAAAATCTAATCAAATATTAGTACGTTAATAGATTTTTTAAAAAATAAATATTGTGTGCCAAGTTAAAAATGAATATTATTTAGAATCATTAAAACTATTTTATCTTTGAATTTTGAACTAATATAAATATAAATAATTTATTGCCATTGCGATTTTGTTAATTTGAATGTTTCACCTCGAGTAGTAGTAATAATTTTCAAGCCTACCAAAAAAAAGTTGTTGAGGATTGGATGAAATAGAAAGAAAAAGATCTATTTTGGGCAAAGCATAAATACATAAAATCATGAGGGTGCAATTGCAAAAGTAGTCTTCTATATTTGTTCATCCCGTGTCGGCTATTTGATGGAGAGCCCACCAAATTAGGTAGGGGCGTGTGGACCAGTGATGAAAATATACAACTACACACGCGTCACATTGTGATTAATCAAATTATGTTATGAACTCTACGTGCCTAATCATTCATTGGCTGACAGCCACATCACAGAAGCTACGTATCTTCCTGCCATGCAAGCACTGACGTAATACTACCATATGGGAGCCACGTGTACGATCATCAAGATTTCTTTTCCCTGTTAAATTTTCAAGATGCCGACGTCTCACGTGATAAACTAACTTATCCCAGATCCCTTACAATTGCGCAATTATCATTAAAATTAGTTTAAGCATTAAAAAGATTAATGATGAATACTATTTTTTACATTGTAATTTAAAATTGCCATTGCTATTAAAAATTTGGATTGAGATTAAATTTATCATGATGATATTTTTTTAATAATAAATTTTACCTTATTTGGCATTCATTATTAAATTAAACAATTATAAATTTGAAATTCAACACAATTAATTAATACAATTATTTTTAAAAAATTAATAAAATTTGATATTATCTGTAATTATTCTCTTATCTCCAAATTAATTTCCTTTTTAAAAAGTTAATTGTCATCAAAATGTAATTTCATTAATACTTATAAATCGGATTTGTTTTTTTTTTTTTTTAATTTGGTGGGTCAAATTTGTGCAATGAAGGAAGGTGGTAGGTTCTTTATTCATAGTTTTGGGGTTATCTTTTGTGTGATGTAAAGGAAGTGTTAAATTTGATAATGGAAGTGGAATGTGACAAGTCTCGACTATTTTGAAGGAAAAGTTCTGAGTACAGGTGTTGGTGAATTCATTGGAACTTTATTTTTTGAGAGTGACCCGTTGATAAGGGTTTTTTTTTTTTTTTTTTTGAATTGATAAAAATAACAATATGATCATTACCTTGAATTGTATCATTCATATATACAATAAAAAAGAAAAATTTACGAGTATGTTCAAACTTTTTATTAAGAGTTAGGTAAACTAAAATTGAATTATTATATGAAAGTATCGATTAAATCAATTTCTCATTAGTAATATAACATTAATTTGATTTCTCCCTTATGAGTTTCAGACTTTAGTCACACGAATAATAAATGTACGGTGCAAACACTCATTTTCATATGAAGATAATGATTGAAATAAAAAAGTATAGATTTCCTTACCCAAAAAAAAAATTTTTTGAGCATGATGAAAATAACGTTTGGGACTGAATATACCGTTACTTACGCTAAAGCAAGTTAATTAATGCTATTAAATTGGAAGCTGGTGAGATTGATGCTCTAATTTTACTTGTATAATAAAATATTATTTTCATTATATATTTTTTGTTGTCGGCAGAGCAAATATATGTACTTTTCAAAACAATTTGATGGGAATTAGGAACACTATTGAAACCTCCATTCTTAATTCTTTTATGAAAGGAACTTTTGTCACTTGGTTAAAGGCTATTGGACATTAAAACATGATTATGTTACTGTAATAAAAAAATGGAATAATAAAAGAAATTGTTTTATATTCATTTTAATTGTTTATTACTGCTTAATTACTTGGATAACACAAGAAATAGATCAAGTATGACCTAAGAATCGGTTCGAGTTCTTTTTATTAAATTTAGATAAATTTTTATCAATAAATTTTTTTGGTATGAAATATAAATAAATTATACGATTAATTCAAATTTTGAATGTTTATTTATGAAATCAACATGAACCAAAATTGGGCTAAAAAATTTCCCATTGCCATGAGCTATGAGCAAATATGCGCAAAAAGCCCAAGCACATTCAGCATGTAGCCGATGACAATTTTAGCCAAAAAATTGCTATGTTTTAACCCATATCGATCCAACCCAATTCAACAACCCATTGGAATTGTTATGTTTTAGCAAGAGCAGCACTCTTTCTTTATGGCACATGAACACTATCATGTCAGTTTCATTTTTGCCATCCTTTCAATTGCAACATCCAACTTTTTTTTTTTCTGTCTTTTACATGTCATTAGAATTTACTTAATATCTAATCTAACATTAATATATACTTTGATTATTCATGAACTTAAAAATTCATGAACCTATAAGATTTTATAAACTAAATTTACTTCTTATTTTGTGTCATTTAAAAATTTGAGTCTAAATTCATTTATTATTAATTAATCATGAATCAAATTCAAAATAAATAAATCTAATTATTCATAAACTTAATCATTCATTTATTTATAATATTCATGAATTTAATTAATTATGAATAAATGTACTTAAATTTAATTTAACATATTTATTAAATAATATAAATAGACATAAATCAAATCATCTTAATATCTTACTTGACTCCAACAGCAAAACTTACATTGCCTCTAGATTATTTCTTGAAGAATCTCCTGAAAAAAAAAAAAAAAGTAAACTATAAGTCAATAATATACCAAGCTTTTCCTTATTATAATATTTTTTTGAACATAAAATTTTATGTTATCAATTAAAATAATTTGAAAAAAAAAAAACACTATTGGGATGCAAATTGTGACATTGGTGTGTGTATGTATGTATATATATTTATATATATGGTTAAGAATTAATTTATATCACTATAAAATTAAAATTTTTTATATTTTTTTAATCATTTATTTGAATAGATATAAGAAATGAGAAAAAAGTAAAAATAAGAAAAATGATTTAATTTCATCTCTTAGATCTATTAAATTCAATAATTATAAAAATATGTAAAAAAATTTTAATTTTATATTTTTTTTAACTATTGATTTCAATAAATCTAGGATATGTAAAAGGAAAATTAACAAAAAAAGTTTAGTCTTAACTAATGAATTTATCTCCTTTATATCAT